TAATCTACCCTTTTCCCAGGGCACACAGCTGCCGACCTCAGAGTAACGAAAATCCTAACCGTCAAATTTCCTAATATGGAAATCACTGGCGGTTCCCCACCAACATTTAGGGGTATATAAACCCACGATTTTCGTTGCTCGCGGGCTAGTACGAAAGAGTTACTTGTTAGAGACACATTGATCGTCTGTAGAGTAGTACTCTAGTGAGATCGGGCTCCAGTTCCTTTCGATCATCGTTACCATATAGATCCGCGAAGACGGTTTTAAAATCATTACAGCCATAAAAGTACTCTCGACCCCCGCATCACCATTGCGTCAACACCGCGCAACACTTAGGTAATCTTAACTTCATACACTAACCGCGACAACACGACACTGCATACTTGTAATTAGTATAGTTATTTTTGAATATATACTCTTTGTGTAAACTTAAAAGTCTGTAAGATCAATCATCAAACCTTTACTTTGAAATCACCAATCCTAGCCAGTGTAACGATCCCACAACATAATAACTTTACCGCTCGAGTTATTATTCTATTAAATTAACAAGTTGCGAGGCTTTATTAACGACGCGTGTTACATTTTAACGATACGATTTAGTCACTGTGTACTCAACCCGAACTCCTAAACTTAACCTATCCTGCGGTTACTCTTTACTGGAAGATACCGATTCCTGCTAGCTATCTGACTTCGCGCCAGAGTCGCTGCACTTTTTCCAACAACCTCACAGTTCGAACCTTACCCTACGGTTACCCTTTACTGGGAGATACCAATTCCCAGCAGCTACCTGACTTCGCGTCAGAGGCGTCTGCGTTTGTCTCCAATAACCAAGACAATCAAACACCTTAACCTACGGTTACTCTTCACTGGGAGATACCGTTTCCTGCAACTATCTGACTTCGCGTCAGAGTCGTCTGCATTATCTACTCTATCCTCAAATCGTCGGCTCCATTGATACATACTAATTAATCGTATAGGTGCAATTCTCCAATCCACCCCATTCGCAGGGCTCACACGCGCGTCGCTATCGCCCTGGCTCGTAACACTCTCTTGAAGAAGTCGCCGGAAACGCGAATCGAGGTACAGCGCGAGTTTGTTATTTTCAAGGATCCTAAGAGCTGGAACAAAAGCTAACTCGACACGAATTCTAAAGAAATGCATTCCAACGGAAACGGCGATTCGACGCGGCCTATAATGAATCTATTAAGTATTTTCAGCGGACGTTCCCTTTTCTCTCCTGACTTTCGACTTTTCCACGCTTGACCACCCACGTCGAATGTTTTAACAATGTACGTGGCGGTTCGTTGATTTAATGCGTTAATCCATTTGAATTCCGCTCCTAATTTGAATATATATATATACTACATGCGGCAGTGTTTAAGCTATTCCGCGTTATGGTGCTACATGCCATGAAGCTAAGTTCACGTAATAGCGTAACAGTACTATCCCTACTCAGATTGAACTTGTCCATAAATGCCAGGGGGGCCACCTTAACCGGAATGGCTCCTCTCTCCATTTCCCTTCCCAGCTTCAATTCTACATATACGTTCGTGATTGATTGTCCACCGCCATCAACGCTAATCTTCCACGAGGTAATCTGCTCATATAATTTATTCCTTTTCATAATAATTGGTTCAAAAGAATTTACCATATGAAACATTTTTTCAGCAATATTTGGTTGTGTTATTTTGGTGTACCAAACTTGATCAAGAACCGCCAAATTTACCTGTCTGTTGAAAACTTCATTTTGAAAATCTACCGTGATACTTTCATTTCCCTCTTTTTCGAATTGTTTCGTCCAGTATTTGGCTGCTGCCATCCTTGCTCTAAACTGTATCCCAACGAATGCATTATCCGCGTACATGACGTTGATGGGAGTGGACATTCTGTATCCTATAGCCGCGCGTAAAGCCGCTGATTCTACTTTCTTAATCTGTTCTTGCAGTTCTATGTTTGTGTTAAGTGAAAAGAAAATTGGAGCTCCGTAATCTAACACTGAAGAAACTAGTGCTCTTACTAAGTTTAATGCCCAGTGTTGAGTGATACCCCTGCTACCCTAACAAAGATAATTTACAACCTGTACCCTTTTTTTTGCTCTACAAACAAGATCTTTTATATGAGTGCGAAACTTTAAGTTCTGATCTATCGTGACCCCGAGAAATTTGGCTTCCGAAACGGATTCTAATGTGATTTTATTGTTTACTTGACCTATCTCTATTTTTATTTTGTTAAACTTTGTATTGTTGTCAAATCTAACTATTTGTGTCTTCTCTGGTGAGATTTCCAGCTTCCTTTCCTCTAGGTGTTCGAGTAGTCTGTTCATTGCTTCCTCCATATTTTTAATTGCTTTCTCTTCTGTTCTGTCTTTAGTAAGGATTGCAATATCGTCTGCATAAATGAGTAACAAGGTGAACTGGTTGTGTAACTTTCCGTTTATCCCTGTAATGTAAATGTTGAAAAGGATTGGACTTAGAATCGCTCCCTGAGGGACTCCTTTCCTCCAATTGATTATTGACTTTTTACCTAAAACTTCTGTAAATTCTATTTTCCTGTCTTCCAACCATGCGTGAATCCACCGAATTATCTTCTTTGGACATCTCTTTTTGATTAAAATGTCTATCAAAATATTCAAGTCTACGTTGTCGTAAGCCCCTTTTACATCAACGAAGGTGGCTATTGTGGTCTCCAGTTTTCTCGTGTTTTCTTTAATTTCTGCTGAAATTCTGTATAGGTTGTCCATCATAGATCTTCCTCTCTTAAAGCCAAATTGGGTTTTGTCAAGGATTTTTAATTCATCTGCCCATAGTTGCAGCCTTTTGTTGACCACTTTCTCCATCACTTTGCCTGTGCAAGAGGTCAATGTGATGGGTCTCAGTGCTTGTTTACCTGGTTTGTCAAGCAGACACAGTTGTCCCGTTTTCCAATCATCTGGTACCATTCCTTCTTCCCAGCTGTCTTTCATTAATTCTGATAGTAGTATTTTCATGAATAATGGTAATTCCGACAGAGTCTTATAATCTATCTTGTCCAGTCCTGGTGCCGATTTTTTTGACCTGCCTGCTTCTATTGCATGTAGTACTTCTATGTTGCTTACTTCTTTATTCCATATATCAGCATAAGGGAATTCCTGATATGAATTAAATTGATGGTTTCTGTCCTTTAAAATGTCCGCGATATTGTTCTTACTTACCAGTTTTTCTATTTCCTGTGCTTCCAGGTCACCTCTTACTCTACAATCCATTTTGGTTTTGTTTGTTGTAAAGTAGTCCTTCAATCCTTTGACCTTTTTCCAAATTTTAGTCAAGTTTTTCTCTCCCGAGATCTCTTCAGTTAGTTCTATCCATTGTTTTTCCTTCTTTTCTTTCTTAAGTTTCTTCCATCTATTCCTGAAACCTACCATAATATTGTAGTCTTCAACTGTCCCTATATTCCATAAGATTCTATTGCTTGTTTTCCAGTCCGTCCAAGCCCTCAAACATTCTTCGTCCCACCATTTCGCTCTATTACCTCTATTGCTGTTTTCCTTTGGTTTTGCTTTGGTTTTATTTCTTGTATTTCTTGTGTTTTGTTCTTCTGTTCTGCGATTCTTTTGATACTCATCTTGACTAAAGGTATTGACCAGCTGTTCCTTCCAGTAATAATATTTCTCGTTGGCTCCTTTTTTCTTTTGAAATTCTGTTTTAATTTCCTGCTTCTTATCCGACAGAGTTTGTCTTATATTTGACCAGTTCACCTTTTGTCTGTTATACAGTCTATTACTATCTTTTCTCAAGTTGCAGCTAAAATTACTTTGAATATTTTTGTCTATGTAAGAAAGAGCCTCTATTATTTGATGATCCGAGCCCAAATCTATTCCTGATTCCCGTATTTCTAGTTTACCTATTGTTTGTATTCGAGTAATAATTAAGTCTATATTTGACGGTGCTACCCCCACACCTCTTCTAGAGACCGTGTTTTCGTTTGCTACAAAGAGTTCTTTATATTCCAACGCCCTGGCTAAGTTATCTCTCACCCAGTCGCTGCTACTACAATTCCATAGAATATTTCTAGGATTAAAATCTCCCACCAATATGTCATCGTCTTTAATGTCAATTCTTTTTAGGCAATCTAACCAATCTTTATACGACAGTTTGATTTTGTGCATCCTGTAAAGGACCGTTAAATTTAGAATTTTTACATTCTCTTGATCCAAGATGCTACATTTAATATATTCATACAATTCCCCATTGGTAATTATTTCTAGTGTTGTAATGTTTAAGTTATTTTTGTATATAATTACGATACCTGTGCCAGGTTGCCTTTGGCTTTTCCTGTCAATGTCCTTCATGTTGTCGTTGTAAATTAGTTTATAATCCTTAATCCTAACAAAGTCATAATTGGTTATCCATGCTTCTGTGATACATAATATGTCATAATTTCTTATAATAATCTTTAATTCTTCTATCTTATTTCCTAAACTACGAACATTCCAAGTTCCTATCTTTAGCACACTATGCATTTCCTACCACTTTCAGGATATAAAATGTAGTTTTGTGCTTTGACGTCGGATTTCCTGTGAAAAATTCCGACATTTTTATTACCATGTTTGCAAAATCTTATCCTATTTTCTGTGTTAAACCTTATATCTAACTTCATACTTAGTTCCTATTCTGAAATGAATCTTTTAATATTAAAATTTTTAAATTAAGATAACTATGTAGATTAATCTTAATATAAAATAAACTCTTACTTTTCTGATTTTTTCAATTTATCCTCTTTTTCCCAATCAATTTTGATTTCACTTTCTGATTCACCGTCTGGAGACTTGAATGAGTCTGAGTCCCCCTCCTGACAGTTATTTACTGTTATACCTGTTGAGGTTGATGGGACCTTGCTTACACTGTTGCACTCTGCTGATTTTTCTGTTTCTGTAATTTCTATGTTCGCTCCTACTTCTTCCATCTGGATGAAGGCTTCTAATTCCGTTTTCTCCTCTTCTTTCTCTTCTATTGTTGCCATTGAATTTACTGTTTTTACCTGATCATGCTCCTCCTTTGGTGCATCTGAATCCCAGTTGTCATCAATCGGTGCTTGTGGTAGAGCAGTATTTCGAACACCCTTGTTGCGAATTCTTCCTTCTCCTTGGGTTTACCGGTTGTGGGTTGTTCTTCCGCTTTCTTCCATTCTGGCATTAGTTTGTCTACCTTGTTCGGTTGATTCCAGTCCTTATTCTCATGCTTGTTATGGTATGTTTCGTTTCTATCTGTTCCCCTGAAGTTTTGTCTTCTGCATCCTGTGTCTTGTCTCTTATTCCTATACAAGAAAGCTCTTTTCTTCTCCTCTTCTTTACGTCTCATTTCTTCTAATTCGTCGTCTACTAAATTATCTCCTGTGATATGCTTGGGTAATTTGCTATAGTTGTAGCTCCTGATCTGTCTTTGGACGTTCCTATCTAATCTTTTGAGGTTGGAATCCACTTTTCCCCACATTTTCTCCATTTGTTCAGAGCTGTATCTTCCTCGGGTTTTCAGTCTCTTCAGAACCACATCCTCTAGTTCCTCTTCCCTGATCCATTGCAGAAGTTGCTCAATATCATAGTCTGTGTGTTTTTGTCTTTTGTCAATCGTGGTGTTCTTTTCCTTATTTGGGCTTCTTCTATTATTCTTCTGGTTTGATTTCACTTTGTCCGCATAGGTCGTGTCCTCCTTCCTTGATTGTGTTGGGTAATTTCCTTGATCTTCCTCTTCGCTCAAGGACTCGTATCCATTTTGTGTATCCAGCCTATATTTTTCGCCCTTATTCCTGTCACTTCGTGCTTGCTGTTTGGGCTTGACGTGTTTCCAGAATGGGTGACGTAGATCACATGGTTGATCCTCCCATTTCTCAACTATGATCTTCTTCTTTTTAAATCTGTCAAGAGAAGGGAAGTCTTTATTGTTCCCGTAGAAATCATTTTGTTCCTCTGCGTCCCTATATTTTAACCGTTTATCTACGAATCCCAGTTCCAGCATTGCTTGCTGTTTAGCTTCCTGAAATGATACGTTTTTGTACGCCATTAATTTGGTAATGGCTTTTTCTAATACCGCATATGGGCAATCCCTGTTCAATGCTCCGTGTCCTTCTTCGCAATTTATATATCTTGCTTCTTTACTACATTCTCCATGAAAAGCATCTCCACAATTGAAATATCTTTTGGTATTGCTCCTGCACCATTTCTTTATGTGCCCAAATTTGAGGCAATTGTAACATTGTCTTATGTTTCTAACAAACGGTGTGATATTTAATCCTACTTCTCCCATTACTATCAATTTAGTCGGCAGACTGCAACCCGCGAATTTAACCAAAATGAGGTGAGAGTCCCTCATTACAAATCTCTTTTCGACTCTAACCCTTTTTTTAAGCCTTTCTATCGAGATAACTCCCTGCCCTGGCTCGATCTCTTCTCTCAAATCTTCCAGCGGTAAATCCCAGTCTTTAATCACTCCCACCCTCTCCTCTGCTCGGTGAGGAATTGTCATTTTGAATCTGTTAATGTCTAAAACCGAATATTTATTAAAAATTAACCTTCCGTGTTCCCCTTTTTTAACTTTGACTTCCGCGATAGTTTTAGTGATCATTTTTATCGACTCTATTAAGTTTATGTCTGGTGTTAAAAATCTAAATATTTTAATATAATTTGCTTTTTTGTTAAACGAAAGCGGAATTATACTGTTTTTGAATATGATTTGTATCTGAAAGAACGCGATGTCTGATTTTACGTTTTCATCTAAGCATTTCTCGACTAACTGCAACGCATCGACTGCCGCCACGTGTTGATCATGAGGATGAAATTCGTATTTCTTACCTTGGATTTTTTGGTTAACTGTGATACCTATATTATTTTCGCTCTTAACTCCTATTTTCTTAGTGTCTCTAACAACAATGTTCAAGTTTTCTATTTTTTTTACACTTTTCACTATCGGTTTAAGGGGATAGACACGGGTAATGCAGCGAGATGACATTACCAGCAAAAGTGGGCCTAAAAAGGGGTTCGCGATTTTTCGCTTTTCGTCCTTATATTAGCATATTTTGGACTGAATGAGGGCTCATTCGAAAAAGGAAGGTCCAACGAAGGGTGCTCTAGTCATGATAGAACGATAGTGTGTTGATATTTAATAATATGAGCGTCCAAAGTTGAACAAAAGTCGAGCAAAACACATCCGTAGAATGGAAGTATTTTTAGGTTACTAAATGGATTTTGTGACTCGAATGATGACCAGAGCACCCTTCGTTGGACCTTCCTCTTTCGAATGAGCCCTCATTCAACCCAAAATATGCTAATATAAGAACAAAAAGCGAAAAATCGTAAAAACATTCCCAAAGACGAGTTCCACCATTTTTTCGATAATGCAGAGCAAGTTACGTCACAAATTTAGTTCAGACAATCGATAGGAGATGGCGCTTACTGAGGACGACTGCCTACGTGATGTCGATACAATTGCGATGTTGCTGTTCTCACAACAGTGTCTCTACACTGTTGCCATTTCATTGAGGTCAAAATCGCGCTTAGCATCCCGATCCCGTATCCTTTCATTTGTCAGCGTCGACTCTCAGTCTCTCTTCCTTCTTCACCAAATTGTTCCTTTCTACTTTCGTCGTCGCTTCGAAACTCTAGCTTTGCGCTGGACGCGGTTCGATCCCGGTAGGAGTTACTTATTTTTTTTTTTTACTTTTTCTTCCGTTTGTATGATGTTTTGTTATGGAAACTACCTTTTTATATATTAAGATTATTTTTATACAATATTGTGCAATTATTATGTTTTTTATAGCTTTGAAAAAGAAGTCATGATGTGAAAAGAGTTTCTACAAGCTTTTATAAAAACTTACATTATAATTTGAAAATAACAATTTAATTATATTAAACAAACATAGCACAACTTCTTTCTTCTTTCTTGTTTTTCTTTTTCTTTCTTCTTTTCTTTTTTTTTCTTCCTTCTTTTTTCTGACTTCTTTTTCAATGCGATAAAACAAATAAAAATTACAGAATATTGTACAAAAATAATCTTAATATATAAAAACGTAGTTTCCATAACAAAACATGATACAAACGGAAGAAAAAGTAAACAAAAAAATAGGCGACTCCTACCGGGATTGAACCGTTTCCAGCGCAAACGATTGCCTTCGAAACATGGCACTCTATCGACTGTGCAACGCTGCTTCTATAATACCTCCGACTCTTATGTGGTTGGCACTCGTCAATCGAAATTTAGCTATTTTTAAAAATTTATTTCTCGAAAACGAAAGAGAGTCGCGCTTTCTCACTTGCAGAGATTGTCCTACATACTCTTCTTTACATATGAAAAAAATTTGATTAAATAATTCGGGGGACACTAGGCGATGTCTCCTTGTAAGCTATGTGAACGTGGGACTTGACTTAAAAAATTAACTTTTTTTACGGAAAATGATAGTATTTCGTTTGTAGTTTCATCAATTGATGAATGAAAAAAATGGTAACAACCTAATACTAAAATTGAAACGAAACACTATCATTTTCCGTAAAAAAAAGTTAATTTTTTGGCAGTTGGCTCTCAGGTTCACATACCCTAGTAGCACAAAATATTGAATACATATTCATCCAATAAAAGAGATTGAATCTCATTTTAATATTTAAATATACATATGATATTTATTCTAGATTTAAAAAAAAATATTTTTTTTTTAAGTATAAAATGAATATCTATTCAATATTTAGAATGGAATATTTTTTCACGAATATAAAATAGATATTCATTTGATATTCGCAACAAAATATTATTTCTCGAATATAAAATACATATTTATTTAATATTCGCAACAATATGTTTTTTCCCGAATATAAAATATATATTCATCTGATATTCAAATTCCACCGAGATAAAAAAAAAATTAAAATAACTTGTTTTAATTGAATCCAATCACAAGAAATAAAGTAATAAAAGTAAAATCTATGAATAAATGAAACACAATATAAAATTGATTTAATTTTTTTTTGAATCTCTTAATTTTTCAAGATTTATTCAACATCGCCCGAATATTCAATACGCATCTTCTAAACATAAATTTCAAATTATCCGAATATTTTTTAAACGCTTCTTTTAAAATATTTATGGGAAATAGGAAATAGGAAATATTAATAATGGATTTTTCAGGATATGTAGGTATCAGTTTTTATAATCAATTAGTATCAACTCAAACAGTAATTTGTATTAAACTTCTTTATTTTTATAAATGAAATCAGGGTGTACAGGCTGTATAAAAATTATTGGTCACCACTTTCAGGGGTTATTGTACACATCTGGATCGGTAGACATTTGCAAAAAAAACCGTCCTCAAAATCCATTACGACCTCGAAATTTAAGGTCAAAGTGTTTCTTAATTTTAAAAAATTCTACTCGAGGAGTAGGTAAAAAGCTGGCGCTTTCTGCTATTTCTGAACGAAGCGAGAAACATAATTCGCTCTTATCGAGCGAAAATGAGATACATATAGTCTCTCCGATTTGTTTCGATCTCTCTTTCTCTCCTCTACTGGCTGTCTCTTTCTATGTTGGCGCTCGGCGTGTAAACAGAATCGACACCTCGGTTGGGTATACATTGTAAGTACGTATAACCAAATATTCAAGTCCGACCAGCTTCGAATACGTCCAGAGTTTCGAAACGTCGACGAAGTAGAAAAAAACAGTTTGATGAAGAAGAAAGAGAGACTGATAAGGAATGTTTTTTAGGTGCCTCCCTCTGATTGTTTTGATTTTTGGATATGTTTTGAAGGGCCAAAAAATAAGATATACCTACTTTTTATTTTGTCCCGTTTTCATATTTAGGGGGTGAAATGATATAAAGTTTCAGCTGCAATAGGCTATCTCCGAAACTATTATAGATAGAAGAAATCTTTTTAAGAAAAAGTTTCATGGTTTTCTATCTGCATATAAAATCGGACCCAAAATTTTGTAAAAAAAATAATTTCTTTATAGTAAAGAATTTGTTTATAACATTATTTTAAATGTAATCGCAGTTTATAAAATAACCAAAACGAACATATTTTTTTTCTGAATCTATTGATGTATAACATGTACCTGATTATATAAGTGTGTTGTTTTCGAAAAACAATAGCTATAACCTATAATAAAGATAATGATCGTACGTCTATATTTGACATGATCGCGACCCGGCGCAGCGTATCTGCGCGATGCATACAGTACACCCCCGCTCAGAAGTATGTGGACACTAAATATCTAATAACAGTTGCAAATCTATTAATATCAATTGTATTATTTATCTTTCGATATGTTTATGTTGTATTAGCGAATATATTTTATTAATAGTCTTTTTTTAATATCACATGAGTAATGATAAAAACCTTTAGAGATAACTAGATAATATTATCATTTTTTTTACCAAACTTGGATACTATTAATTTCTTCATTGTATCCGAAGTAATATTATCTCATTTATTTTGTAATATTTCGCCATAAATGTGTTTGATATATTGAACATTCTTTCTGAACTTTTCTATCTAAACGATCCCATAGTTCCACTAAAAAATTAAATATGACAATCGAAATATTTAATATAATCAAATGTTGTTAAATACATCCAGCATAGAATTTAGCAACAAAAGTTGTATAGTGTGACGTTCGCATATCGACCGTCCAAACCACGGACATATTTTTCGCTTGTAATGAGTTGAAAATAGATATAGTATTTGTATATTCGAACGTCACCCTATATCTTAGACTGAGAAGCATTTAGCAAGTAAGAGAGAACCTAAGCGATAACAGCTACGGATATTATTCACTATCGTGAACTGCAGAGGGCGCCACCGGGTCGTCGCGTGGTGAGGACGTGCTTCGCACCGAGGAGAGTTTTTGTGCAAGTTAAAGGGGATTTTGTGTGCTAAGATCGGTGGTGGAAAGGTGGTGAAGAGTTATATCTAGAATTGGATTTTGTGATTATAAATTAAATCAGCGTTGGAATACCGGTGGAAAGGCTGATATTGGAAAAATACTCCCTGGAGAGAAGCTAGGCTTCCACCTGGGAGCGAGTGAAGCGAGAAAGAGGGGAAACATGGAGGGTGATAAGAGGCCGGAGGTGAAGACCATGAAATTGCTGAATGTACGAGCGGAAGATCAAGTGAGAAAAGGGGAAGAAAGTAAACTTGGAAACGGATTGGCCGAAAGCCAAATTTCACTAGGCAGGGGTCCAATAAGAGGAATGAATATGGTAGGTAAACACGATTATTCAAGCTATGGTAGAAAGCGACCCCTATCGACTCGAAGAGATAACAGAAACATAGAAGGAAAAGATTTAGAAATCAGAAAGGAGAAGCAGTGTAAAGCAAACAAAGATCAGAGGACAGAATTTTATACAGGTAGTGGAAAAGTTGAGAATACAGAAAATAAGATAGAAGGAAATGAAAAAGAAAAACAAATCTTTAATGGAAATGAGAATGATAAGGTAAAGATCATAAGCAACACTCTGGTTAAGACCACAGTGAAAAGTAAAAACTGGAAATACGATGACAATACCGAACAAGTGAAAGAAGTGAACAAATTCTCGTGTGATGAAAACAAGGACAAAAATCCAAATTAATAACCCGGACCGCTTAAATAAGAAAAAATGTAACTACATCAAAATTTTCAAATTTTTAAGAGATGACATTGATCTAATAGTCCATCAGAATGTTAAACAGGAGAACCGCAGAAATTCGCCCAAAGGATAAGTTAAGAGGAGGAGAAATTTTCAGTAAAATAGAAAATAAAGATAAGGAAAACTTTACTGTAAGGATTCCCAAAAGGATTGAAGAAAGATGGGATGTAATAAAGGATTGGGACTTTTCAGTCGATGAATTATGGAATGAATTGGTACAAGGTCAGAAGGTGAAAGAAGTGGAAAGAATTAGGATAAGAGTTAAAACAGATAAAGGAATAGAGTTCCAAAGTACAGGCTCTATATTAATTAAATTCCAAGGTGACAGTCTGCCAACAGCAGGATTAATATTTGACGGATATGTAAATTTAAACGTTAAACCATTTGTCAAGAATGCGAAACAATGTTTTGGGTGCCTCAGATTTGGGCACATAAAAAAATTTTGTAAAGCACGAGATAGGAGATGTTTCAATTGTGGAGACATATTCCATGGAGAGTGCAAGAGAAAGGCAAGATGCAGAAATTGTGAAGAGGAACATGGTTCACTTAGCAGAACATGCATCTATTCAGAATTGGAGAGAGCGCCCAATAAATTATTAGCATACAAAAACCTGGCTTTCTCTGGGGCAAGGGAAATTGCTAAAATGGAATTGGGCATCATTGAAAGGAGAAGTCCAAACAATCAAGGGATCAATGACCACAATTTGGAACTAGACGCAAGAGATTTTCCCAAGCTAGGCTATATAAAACAAAAAATTCAGAAAATCGAGAAATGGGAAGATAAACCATGTAACATACGTACCCCATATTGGTCAAGGAAGGATGGTAAGTCAAACTACTATCCAAATACGAAAAATAGATTTACTGTTTTAGAAACCGAAGGACATGAAGAAAGCACGTCCCTCAGAACAATATTCACCGATAAATGGGACCACGAAGTAGAATCAAGTAATAGACACGGTTATAAAACAGATTTCCAGGAGAAAAATCAAACAAGACAAATTCGTAAACATCAAAAAGATGATAAAGAGTTAGAAAAGCTACTAGAATGGATCAGGAACGAAAATATAGAAGATGTGGTTATGGAAAAACTAAATAGGAACAGAAGATACCAAAGAAAAACCTTCTCCACCTACAATCAACCAACTGAGATATCAAAGGACAATTACAGCAACCTCCCAAAATACACAGTAGATCAAAGAAAAGGAGAAGACTCTGATATAAGGAGAGATCACAAAGCTACAGTGTCAACTTACTCACAAAGTCATCCAATGAGCTCTAGGCAGATGAAGGAGAGAGACGTTGGGTTAAACTTTGAAATACCAAGAAACAAACCTGGTCATAGGGACAAAGATACGGTAGACCACAACCTGGTGAAACCAGACATCAGGAAGACAAATAAAGAAATTAAAGAAGAATTTAAACAAAAAGATGTACGGAATAACATTACACCAATATTGAACGAGGATCGGGAAGGGGCAAACACGAAAACAATTCAAGAAGATAAAATAGCAAACATCATAGGAGCAGAACAGGTTCCAGAGAATAAAGAAATATCGGAGTTCACCAACACAACCCAGAACAATGATGAAATAGAGAAAATAGAGAAGATAGAAGTAATAGAAGAATCGAATAACGATACCATTCAAGAAATTCAACAAGAAAAATACGAATTACTAGAGGTAGAAGACTCGGATTCGTTTAGATCACCGGAATCTATAACGGACTCAGAAGATGAGTATAGATTAGTTCTTAAGAACGAAAAGTAAGTCTTCTAGTAAATAGGTAAAAAATAAAAGGGAAAGGAAAGAATAACAAGGTAATACATAAATTTACTAATACACTAAAAAGATAACGACGATTTTATATATAAGCTACGTGACTTATATATATATACTTGTATAATTATACGTTCAAGTTAATATCCATTAATTTGATATATTCACACACGAACTTTAGACAGGAAAAAGAATATAATAATTTCACACAAGAAAGGAGAAAATGTATTATAGCTTAAAAGTAGGTATCTGGAATGCACACAGCTTAACAAACAAAATACTAGAATTCGAAAAGATAGTCTACGATTACGACGTTATCTGCGTTAATGAAACCTAGTTAAAAAATTACAATGGAAAAAGTCTGAAAGGCTACGCAGTTTGACATAATTAAGTAGTTACAACTCTAAAATTGATAGTTCATTCTCTGGCTCTGGCAGAGGAATGTTGATAGTCTATAAAGACATATTAAAAGTCCAAATTGAAAAGGAAAAGTATGTTAATAAAAATTTCGAATATATTAGTTTTAAAATTTGTAATGGAGAGGACATAGAGATTTGTAGCATCAGATTTATTTATCACTCTCCTAGTAAACATTATAATCGAAAGAATTGGCGAGATTTTTTCGACGAACTCAAATTAAATGACAATACCATTATCATGGGAGATTTCAACACAAAAAGCCGTACCTGGAACTGCGTATCAGAGGACCCATCGGGGACCAGCCTCGAATATATTCTGGATGAAAAAGATCTGATAGTAGTTAATCATGACACAATATCCAGAAATAGCCATTGGGAGACTGCCACCAACATAGACTTAGTCATAACAAGCACAGTAATGTGCAGAAATATTTCATGTAGGGAATCTGGGATTAATCT